GTGGGCCAGCGGATGGTCGCTCTCCGCTCATATTAATTTACCGTGGCATTAGAATAAATGCCGAATATTATAGCGAAAGTATTCTGGAGGGTGTATTAAAGCCTTGTGCACGCAAACATTTTGGCCTTGGACATTTCAACAGGAGTCAGCACCATCGCACTCAGCACGCGCCACCCAATAATGGTTACAAAATGAGGTTCCTCAAAATCTCCGGATACCAATCCGTTGGACTATTGTGTCTGAAGTATTTTGGAAAGCAAGGTTGGCACTAAAAAATATCAAAGTGTCAATCACCTCAAGCAATCGGTTCACCGGGAATGGGCCACAATACCCATTTGATGATATTTCCGACATTTTTTGCTTTCATTCAATAAAATTAAAAAAAAATGTAAAAATTATGGCTTTTGACTTTGTTGAAGTTTTTTTATCTCACCCTGTATGTGACTGGCATTACCAAGTGAATGAGAATTATTTGCTTATGCGGTAAACGAGGTATTGCCGAAAGCTGAATTGTCAGTTACTCGAATTTAAATTAAATTTGGTTATCCAATCTTAGAGCTTAAGTTCGACTGTCCTTACGAATCCCATATCATGTGCTTCTTAGTTCAAAGAAACAAAAAATCAATAATCTGAAATGTGGCATTATATTACTAAATTTGAATACTTTGTCAAAATATAATGGAATTTCATTTCGCAATTAATTATGAAAATATATCACTTCTGTTAATCTCAAAAAAAAAATTGTTTCTTCATTTCGTGTGCTGTATTTACTGTATTTACCATTCCCATATATAAGAAATGTGTATTTCAAACAAAGTATCGCATCAGTTCTATTTGTGTACACATCTCACGAGATTGGTATACCATCTTTGTCAAAGAAAAGTCGCTAAAAATCCCAACTGCTTCTGTATGGGTAAACCTTATTTACTTTTTTGCACGAATCCTGGTCTGTTTACTACTAACAATGCTTTTTGCGCCATTATCTTCCAGTCATTTTTCTAATAATATAACCTGTGGTTACCTGTGCGTGATCTCCGATGGAAAAATCGAAATTTCCCACAAAATTGTCATTTGTCATTGGCAGCGTTTCCTTGTAGTAGGCCAGCTCTAATGTCAACGCACACATCATTCGCCCCGTTGTAAAACCATGCGAATCCATTGTGAAGGTTATTGCTTCCCTCGTTCGTACGTGATCAATAATGCAGTTCTTATGATTTTAACAAGGAGCATAAGAAGAAGCCAACTTCGATTAGCCAGCCTACAACACCTAAGGAAACGGATATGTGCGCGATTAATGGCGATGACGACACGTTCACATCCAACCGCACACACACACATTCGCAGTTGAATACGAGAATTTCCGTTTCGTTGATCCAACATAGATCGGCATGAAGCTGTTTTGTCGGAACTATTTGAAGTTAGCTGGCTCTAAGACAATTTTACGCCTCATCATACTTGTAGTCAATTGTCGTGGAAATGTTTTCATTTTAGATTCCTTTATTGGAATCTATTATCCTCTGGGTTATTAATGGTAATTTTCAACGGGAACGTGCTGACACAAATGATGAGAATAACACCACAACACAAAGTTTACTTGGTTTGGTTGGATGCTGGGGACCGAGGTTTGAAGTTATATTTTATTGTTCGACGATTGTTTCTCAACCATGTTGGTTAGATATCTGGCTTTGTCGTTGTTGTTCTCCGAGCATTTTCTCTTTACTCTCTTCAATGAAATCGTTTAATTTCGAAAATAAGTTTCTCTTCTTTTAATGGCTGAATATGTTTGGGTAACTTTCGAAGTTTTTTTTGATGGCGTTTGCTCTTAAACATTTTTGTTTGAACAAAGCTTAACAATATCTGATAAATTTTTAATTTTTGACGAATTTTGTTGAATAAATAATATTTCTTGGTATGACGTTCCATGAGATGTCGTTTCAAACCGACGCAACTCTTGAGGCTTCAAGAAAAATTATGTTTCAGACAGCTAAGTCTTCTTTACACTTTTGATTAACATTGCTCTCAGATATTAGTATAATTAAGTAAATAACAAGAAATAAATAAATAATAGATAATTAAGAAAGTATAACCAAATAAATAAATATGTAAATAAAAAAATAATTAATAACTAGTTAACTACAAAAATAATATGCAAATAAATTAATAATTAAATACTTATGTTAGTATAAAAAATATAAGTAAATAATAAATGAATCGATAAATAAGTAAAGTATACCTATGCTGCCATTTGCTAGTATTTTCATGACTGAGTGTCTTACTGAAACGGCTGAAGCTGGAATTTTAAAACTTTGGGTGAGGGTCCACCCTAAGGCGTAGGTGCGAGATAAGGCTCGGTATTTAGGAAATTTTTATTAGAAGGTTACAAAAGGATGAAATTATCCTTCATATGGTACCATTTTCATTGGGCTGCGGATAGAGTTAGAATTATGGATTTTGGAACTAGTTCCAAATATTATTATTAAATTTGGTGCACTATGGGTGAATGGATGGAGGTGGAATGTTTTGAGAATGGGTAAAATAAGTGTACTAAATTTTACCGCATTTGGCATGAAGTAGAAGAAATTACGAATTTAACTGTAAGTGTCACTGCGGGATAAAAAATGGAAAGGTTTTGGAAATGCGTGCTATTAAGTATGTAAAACATACTAAGTTCGGTATGGAGTATATGATTACTATAAGTGCTTGACTTCTAAATAAGGAGGTGAAATTGGAAATGCCTAGTATATACAGGTTGAGATAAAAAAAACTGCAATAAAGTCAAACGCCATAATTTCTACGTTTTTCTTTAAATTTAATTAAATGAAAGCAAAAAAATGTCGTAAATACCATCAAATTTTACAAAAAGTTTAGATTTGTTCGAATTGGTCGCGTTTGGCACGAATTATTTCATTCAAACGGTCAATGAAACCGTCACACGCTGCCCGAATGTTGTTCTGCGGTATTTCGGTATTGTGACCCATTCCCGGCGAAGAGCTTGCTTGAGGTGATCGACACTTTGGTATTTTTTAGTGCCAACCTTGCTTTCCGAAATACTTCAGACACAATAGTCAAACAAATTGGTATCCGGAGATTTTGGTGGCCATTGTGCGCTGGAAATGAAGCCAGGAACCTCATTTTGTAACCATTCTTGGGTGGCGCGTGCTGAGTGCGATGGTACTGAATCCTTTTGGAATGTCTAAGGTCTGCGACCAAAATGTTCGCGTGCCCAAGGCTATAATACACCCTCCAGAATATTTTCGCGATAATATTCGGCATTTATTCTGATGCCACGGTCGATTAATACGATCGGAGAGCGTCCAACGGCTGTTATGGCGGCCCACACCACCATGCACTTTTTCAGCTGACCTCTTTGGCAAGTAAACACGACCACTTTGTTTGTTTACAAACTGCTGGACAACAAATGTTTTCTCATCGAAGAAAGCCAAATTCGGCAGTTCACCACTTTCGGGCAAGCGAAGCAACTCCTTGGCTCTTTTGAGTCTTTTTTGTTTCTGTTGCGGTGTATGTTCTTGCACTTTTTGGAATTTCAATGGCTTTACCCCGAGCTCATTTTTCAATATTTGCCGAATAGAGTATTGCGCTATGTTCAGCTCACGAGCCATTTTTCGGCCACAGCGACGCGGGTTTCGATCAAGTCACTTCGTTACTTTTCGAACCATTTCTGCTGATGTTGCTGTTTTGTTTTCGTCCACTTACTTAACGTCGGGCTAAGCTACCAGTATCACGGTAACAAGTGATGGTACGAGACACAAAGATTTATTCACATTTAAATACTGGAGTGTTGTAACGATAGCCACTTTTGGTTTTCCAGCCAAATTCAAAGAAATCAATGCTTTTGTACGCTTGTAAACAATATAATGAGCTATCACTCTGTATACTTTAAAATAATTCTTTTAGACAATATGGGCGTTACACAAAGTCGAGGACCTCTATGTTCCGAATATCAGAAGATACCGTTATATGGGGACTAAAATTGTGACAAAAACGCCCATAGTATCTTAAATCTGGAAGAACAGTTGCATTGGAGGCTACACAAAACGTGGACCTATATGGTTCATTGTCAATACCAAAAATTCTTGTACGAAGAGGACAGCTGATAACTTAAGCCAGTAAAAAAGCTATGTATGTAGCTGCATCTTAAGGGAATGTTTTGAAGTGAAGAAATGTCCTCGTTTGGATTTTTAACTTTGTTCTGCTGTTTCCACAAATAATGGAAATTTGAATATAACATCCAAATTTCTTAAGATATATTGAGTTTCAAAGGCTTCAAAACCCTTTGACTTAATTTTAAGTTGACACCTTTATAACTCGATGGCGAATCAATACTATAGCCATTTATAAAATATCAAAGCAACAATACAGTCTCTTTTGAAAAATAAAAATAAAGAACATATCTCAGTATTGAGCGCCAATACCTTTGTATATTAAATTTTTCTTAAAAAATATTTATTTTCAGAAATGGTTTACAAAAATGTTTAGATATCCAGATTATTTAATAATTGAGCCCCATTTGTTGTTCCATAATAATTCATTTAAGACGAAATACCATCATTAGTGAAATTAACAAACATCAACCCTGTTGCTGTTTGCCATCAAACCAAGCGTAATAAGTCAAAAATGACATTTAGTTCAACGGCTGTCTTAAAAACAAGAATTTCTTTGTTAATATTTAGTTATTTGACTATGGTATGACGTTGCAGTTGCTTTCGAACCTTTAAGCTTCGAACTCACATTTCGAACATGATGTTGGTATACCCTCTAGCAAGTAAGTATGAAACACACCATCAATCCGAACCCAAGGCAATAAATAAATGTGTATCTTCGAGATACATTACCTGTTAGTCCGTCATACACTTGTGTGTATGAGTGGCCGTGCAACACATGCACCACACAACATAAACACAACATGCAACAAATAAACATTACTGCCCAATGATGAATGCCAAGCAAGAGGTTCGTTGGTTTGTTTCTGGTAGAAGGCATCAAACGTTAAATACATCTCGAACGTTTAACACACATTCAACGGATTGTCGTCGTAGTCGTCTCGCGTTCTTAACACACCGGACCAAGAACCAAACTCCCATCCATCCATCATTGGCTTGTGGTGGAAAACAAAAACATTGAAGCGAAGCAGAGCAGAGGGAACCTGAAGTTGCGTTCGGGTGTGTGTGAGTTGGTTGCTTGTGTGTGCTAACAAACTCCGGCTGCGACTGCGGCTCTGTGTCGTCACAAACTTCAATCCCATCAGTTGAGTTTTAACTTCGAACTGGCTATGTTGGCCTTTGGCATAGAAGCGCACCGCTGAGATAGATAGTAGATCTGTTCTGCTTATTTTCGATTTTCCAAAAGAGTGGGTTTTTGTGAAAACACCACCAAAGCGATTTCAATTCGATAGTCTGTTTGTTTTGTTGCCAGTGACTTGAATTGACTGTTACACCAATCGACCGGTTTTGTGTGTGATTTGGTAACAAGTGCTAAACTCTAACATTTTTAAATATTGAAAGGCCGGAATTAATGGCCTGGCTTTGTGTTCGTGCGTATTTACGTGGGTTAAAAGCCCGCTCGTAATGGCCCTAAGAGCCCAGTTGTGTGTGGATTGAAAAAAAAAAAGATTTTTTTTTAACTTTGAAGAAGAATAATAAAACATAATAATTGGTGTGATGATATGATAATGCTAACGAAAGCCAAAAACAAAACAAAAAGCGAACGACAAAACAAATCAATGAATCGATGAATGAATTTTATGAATGAATGAACAAAATCGACGTGAATTCAAAACGAATAATTAAGTAAATATTCGAAAAGAAAAAAAATACGTTGGCGTTAGCACTCCATGGCAAGCCAGTGAATTGAAAAGACAAACAACATTAGTTTTTTGTGACAAAAGAAAAATTTCAAAAAATAAATAAAAGTGCTCTAATTTTTCCTGCAATCAATCCAATAACAAAAAAATATATATGGAACCTCTCCAATACAATTGAAAGTGAATTTACCACAACAAAAACAACAATATGGTCGTTCTAGCCATTTAAGGAATAAACTTGTTTTTCACCAGAAAATCCTTAGCAGAGGAGAAAAAAGGGAGACATAATTGAACCCACAAAAAAATACGAACAAAAAAACTTGATCTCCTTCAGTTGCTGTCGTCGTCGTCGTTGTTGCCTGGTGCTTGAACTAAGAAAGACATTCAGTTTGTTTGCCACAGCAGCAGCTTGCAACATTTAATGCCACAAGATGCATCTGCCGTTAACACATTTTCGGATAACTTTGACATTTACGTTGCTAGCGGGTAAGTCATAACATAACTTGTATCAACTCCACATGCAGACAAACGAGCAGATGGACAGACAGACGGACAGACGGACTAACAGATGAAATTCAAGTCAACAGAGTATTGCCAAAGCTCAAATTGCTGGCTAGCTCTCCTCCTGCTGCTGCTGCTGCTTAAACCCGGTGCCCATTGTTGCATTGTGTTGATATTTTGAGCAGACAGGCCAGACAAATGACACCTTCCTGCCTTCGCTTGTTGCTCCCCTTGAGTCCTAACTTTGTTCGTTGTTTGGCTGGCTGGCTGTTTGGTTGATAAGTCGCTTGTCTGCATTGCATATGCGGCATTTGTTTCCTTCTCATGTTGTTTCTGTTGTTGTTTTTGCTACTGCTTCTTTAAGCCATTATATTGTCATTATTCTTTGTTGGCAACGTTAGCAGCAGGCGGCAGAAGCTTTATTCTCACTTTTTGTCCTACTGCCGTCTGTCTGCCTCTCTGTCCGTCCAACGTTATTGTGGTTAACTCAGGGCCTTTTGCCACCAGAAGGGGATACTTCTGTCTAAGTAACAAAAACGCATTAATTTGTATAAAATTATGACCTTTTACATACTACGTACGAACGTACTTCGTAAAACAAACCATTTTCGTTGACGATGGCCAGCCAGTGCCTTGCGATGAGGGTCGTCAGCGGCACCATCACCACCACCACCATCTTTGTCATCATCATCATCACCATCAGCAGCAGTTTTTCAATTTGTATGGGCGGCAAATGTATGATTCGAAGGAAGTTGGTCTTGGCACGTTGTCGGTGTGTGTAGGTGTTGTTACAAAGCTTAACGGAGAAGAAAAAGAAGAAGCGTCTAGCTGTTGTCTTTACAACTAAGAAATTGTTTTTTTTTTTGCGTTAAACGCTAAATTTATTTTTAAAAATGAGTTTTTAATAGAACTTTATGAAAATGAAGTAAATCGAAAAACAAATGCAGTGCGCTACCTGTTACACCGCCAAGGAGAGGGGGTGGGGGAGGTTTGTATGTAACACCGAAATAAAATAGGAGTTACAATACTTGACTAGCTTAGAGCATCAAAATAACTGAAAGACGAACTTTTTACCGTTTGGATTTTGTTCAAATTATCTTGACTAGTCAAATTCGACTTCATTTCATCTTCAATTTCGATTAAGGTGGATTAACTGGCATCTCATTTTTAAAGCAATAAGTAGTGGTTTTACAAAACCCCAAATGCCTTGAACTAAAAAAAGCAGAAAAATAATATTTTCTTTTTGGGATTGAGTTTGCTTCTCTGGCTTTTTGTCGTCATCAAGAGTTTAGCTGAGTTTTGTTAAAAGTGAGCAAAACAAAATTCCCAATTATTTCCACAATATAGTCGCTAAAAAGCTCTTTTATTTGGGGGAAAATGTTGCCCCATATATATTTAACAATAAATAGCTGAAAAATTAAACCATTTGATATAAGGTCCAAATTCTTGCATTCGATATCGACAAATTTGTGTACTGCATTCGTGTACTCGCATTTAAGATAAATAAGAATGTATGATTGAAAAAAAAAACTGGGATTAACTCAAACATCCAATATTCGAATATTTTTTATGAGAAACCCAAAAACCTGTTCCATGGATCACAGCATAATTTTAACCCTTTTGAAGATCATTTAGTTTTTGTTTTTTATTCTTTCTTTGAAAAAAATGTACAAGAATTGATCCGATCCGGTTGTTCCGATTTGATCTTATTTTTCAAAGCACATATATTAACTATTTTTTTTGTGGACAGACTTGATTTTTTCATAGGAAGTAGTATCCATTATGAACTCCAAATACCAAATTTGAAATAATTCCTGTGAAAAGCGTCATCAAAATATGGAATATCTGAAGGTACAGTTATATGGGGACCTATGTACATATGTAGACAGTTCTACATGCTGGAAACACAAACCGCCATTGCTGAACCGTTATAGGGGGTTTTTTTACCTAAACCTGGACCAATTGGCCCATTTTCAAGTCCTGCAGACAATAAAATACATCTGAGTAAAATTTGGTGAACAGACGGGCATAACTAAATCAACATAGAATTTATTTTATACTGATCAAGAATATACATACTTTGTGGGGATTAAAATGTATATTTCGAGGTTTCACAAACGGAATGACAAACTTATGGTTGAGGGTATAAAAATATTTGAAAAGGTGTTTTTTATGAAAAAATTAAATTGAAATCGAAGACTTTACCACACACAGTCCGATCTCAAATATACACGAAGGGGTTCATCGGTTGCACAACATTTATATTTCATAAAAAAAAATATTTTGCAATTGATTTTTTTTAATTTTTTTCGAACCCCTTTAAAGGTCGCCAAATATATGGAACTAATTTTTTGTTGCAAGTTCGAACCAAAACATAGAATTTTTATTTTTGTTGGCATAGGAAGAGGATTAAACATTATAAATTTAATTGTGGTTTTTAAATATTACTTTAAGTCTCTTTGTTGTACCCCCAGAACGGTGGGAACCATTGACGCTTTTGGCTAGTTTTGTAAAAGCGATTCGTTTGATAGAAGTTGTAACAACCTTTACTTTTTTTTAATTTAAATTAAAATAACCCGGATTTTTTTTTAACAATGGGATATAGTCCTAATTCGAATAATTATTCATAATTCTTATGGGAACGTTTAGAAAAACGTGGAAAGTTCAGTATAATGTGTAGTCTGTATAACAGTATCTTCTGCCAAAATGTGGAGGTCAAAAACCTACCTATATGAAGTATTACCTATCTAAAATAATATTACTGTTTTATATAGTTTTCTAGTAAATCTGTACAGTTTCGTGGTTTAAAATCTCGAAGTAGGTTAGAAAGGGGGCCCTACATTATGTTTTCCACCCTAATGTTTTTGAAAGCTATTTTAAGATTTCGAACAATACATAATACAAATAGGCTTCAAAAAATAAATAAATAAATAAAGTAATATAAATATTGAAATAAGCAAAACAATATGTAAACAAAAAATAAATAAACATAAAACAAAGAATAAAACATTAAAACAAGTCAATAATAAATTAAAAAATAAATTAATTAAAAAATAACATTTAATTATTAACTTGTGGTAAAATACTTTATTTCTTCATTGATGATGAGAGCGCATTCGTGGTTTTCAAAATACATTGGCAAATGGACCCTAGTATTAAGGATTATACCCACTCCCCTAATCTATTCCAATACAAGATAGCCGCTTCATCTCAAAGACCCCGTATAAATATAGGTTCAGGCATGATGAGGTACCGCTTCATTATCCATATTTTCAAAAAAACACAGTTTTTTTTCTTAACGTAGCACCCTGTCCAGCCATAACGCCTCTATTAAAACATTTAAATTTTTAACAAATTCAAACTCACCTTCAAACATTTCCCTGTGACATTTAATTCAAATGCAATTTTTCTTCAGTTTTAATTTTCACAAATAGTTTTGAAGCTAGTCTTTTTTTACATTGTGCATAGCCTGTAGTTTTTGTGCTAAAAGTAATTTCCCAAAAAAAAGACGAATAATTTCAATTATTAATTTTTAACAATGCTCGACTGACTGCCTGTCGGTTTTTAGTTTTGCTCCATTTTCCCCGCATATGGTTTTTATGGGGATTTCTGCTGTTGGCCTGACATACGTGAGCAATTTAATTCTATTAAAATTAACAAATTTTCTGATAGGTAAGCTTTGTGGTGCGGAAAGAGTTTTTCCTTTTTGGTTCTGGGAAATCGTAAAAACTATAAATGTTGTTGTTTTTCTATTTTGGTTGCTGTATTTCTTTAGCTATTTTTCTGCCATATTTGTGTACGTGTGTACGTGTGTGCATTCGAAACAAAACATATGAGATTGTTGGAGAAAACCCATTGACAAAAACAATAACAACAACGAGAAAACCGAGTGAAAAATATGCAAAACTCCTAACCAGGGTTCATGACATTATTATCGGCTTTTGAGTGCTGTGATGTTGCCACACCAACACACAATTGCCATGCTGCTCCTCATTGGGCTGGATGCTGTTTCTGCTGCTGCCGTGGCTGCCACCGCATTTCGCATTTGGATGCACAGAAATATTTTTGCACTTTGTCTGCCAGCTATTGATGTTGTTTTTCGCCACACAATATTTACTTTTTTCCCCTCTGTTTGCTGTTATGTGTATTTAATAATTCAGTTGTTTTTGTTGTGGAATGTGTTGTAGTTGTTGTTGCAGTTGCTGCTGCCGTTATTATTACCACCGATCAAATGTTGGCATTTTAAAAAAGTTTGCACCCTGGGCTATGTGAATGACAAAGGTAAATAAAAATGTATTTTTATGGCGGAAAAGTTTTTAAATGTAAACCAAAAACAAAACAAAAAAGAATTGAAAAGTTAAAAACCCTAAATTATAATAAAATTAAATTAAATAAGGTTGGCGTTTTTCCAATTAAAACCCTTGGTGTTGGGAATTTTGTTTTTGGGTGTAATGACAAATTCCAAAGGGCCACTTATCATAGTTTCCACCTCAACCAAATTTCCAATTAATTTGTTTTTTTTTTTTATCTGAATTACAACAACAATCGAAAAGAAAACAAATTTAAATCTTATTTTGCAAAGAAATTCTTTATTTTCCAAATGTTATCTTGTGCGGCTTAAATGTTTAGGAACTTATTTATTTGAGGCTTTATCACTCATGCCCTGCCAGGCCTGGAGGGTCGTCTTCGGTGTCTCTTTCGAATTTATTTACCAACTTCTTGGCAAAGTTTTAATCTGGTTTTGGTAATTGTTAATTTGATTTTTTTGTACAATTTTAATTTTCTTTTGACAGTCGGGGTAATACTCTCTTCCCTCTCTCCATCTCCGCCCCCTGACTTTAGTTGAGCACGTGTAGAAATTTGAAATTAGAAAATTGTTTTTCTAAATACTTGACGTGGTGTTGTTTATTTACAAGATTTTGGTTTATTTTTACAATGTCAACACTTTGCCAGGACATTTTTCTTTAACTAACTTCTTATTCTTC